AAACATGAGTAACGAGATGAAAACATAGTGAGCAAGCATTCGTGTGTGATTCGCAGTCACTCGCTACTCGCAGCCATTCCTCGCATCGTCCACGTATTGCCGAGCGTGTCCATTCATCACCGGCTTTTTCCTTCTAAACCAGCGTCAGTTTGTAAACACGTACTGAGTCACCGACACAGTTCCGATAAATAGCTCGTGTTATAGTCGTTTTGTCTGTCTGCCCGTCTGTGTGCCTCGGAAGTGAAAGTGTATAGAAAGCGGTGAAAATCTCGGCGGGCGCACGATCTTTCCCCGGCCGAACACTCTAGACAAATGCAACGCCTATGCACTTCTCTTGCTGTATACCTACGTATTGTTCGAGTTTTACGATTGCTTCGAGACAACGAAATGTGAAATCGACGACTGCAGAGAATTCTAATCTAGTCGCAGGTTCCACGGCACGCAACCACCGCGATGTCTCTGTACAACACATCAGTGTGCAAACTGTAAACTCACCATTATTGTCCCCCACAACCAGAATGTATCGCCTCCCCACAACTTACCTGTTGTTACTTCAAATTAAAAAGATCAAAAAGAAATCATCATTAAAACACAATCATAAGAACATTGTTGCTAGTGACCCACTTTCGACACACGCGATACTGGTATCAAAATTAACGTGGCTAGAGTCTGTTTTTGTATAAAACGACGTATAAAAGTGAATGTTTAATGTCAAGAACACGATAAAAATATCTAGGGAGAGGATGAAGAGTAGATCACGGTCAAATATAGACTTTCTCCACTTTCTCTGACCTAAATGTGTGTATTGTCGTAGGTCGAGTGGTCGGCCTTCGGGGTGCTTCCACTTTTGATTTTATCCGTCACTTTCATTAACCTACGCCTGTAGAAAGTTCTGACGTAGAAGGCGTCGAAGGTAAAAGTACCAGGAGAGAGCCGGGATAAGGTATTAAGGTTTATAGATGCTCGGACTCGAGACGTACGCAGCCGTTGTAGGGAGAGCATGCGGCGATGACTACGACGCAGCTATGGAAAATGTCGAATATTTGTTAGAAAATATTACTAAAGTTGTATTTAAAACAAACATAGAAAATAAATAACTACACAGGTTTTACCCATTTCAAATTAGTTAGTACCATAGCACGTAGCAATGCAGCCACCAAGTGATGCTACAATCTTTTCCGATGTATGTGATGCGGAGGAAGGTTTGAACGCTTCAACATTCATATTTTTTCTTCTTCTTCTCTTCATAGTCTCACATGTAGCTTGTTAAATAATAGACATTACTATCACTCCAGAATTAGCAGTTCTCATTCATTAAAACCAAATAATGAATGAAGAACTAAAAAACAACGGCAAATTTTAGCTGTATCTTTTATCTCTACCTACCACACACTAAACTATCATAGTTAAAGAACAGTAAACGCATTTAACAAGTAATATGCAAACAATGATATTTCCCATGTGTCAATTGGCAGCCCACGCAGCGCCTTGCCCTTAGATTTCACATTTTAGAAAAGCAATGACTAACAATACAATTGCACTCGGATATTTTCTAAGTCTAACATATACACCTAAGTATAGGTATACTAAGAGTACCTAGATATACCTATACCTTCTGCCCGTAACAGTGGTGCATTCAAAACAGATGCTAATTCAGTAAGGAATTAGGTTGAAATCAGAATGGTCTGGTAATCTTTTGTTTTTGACGTGAATGGCTGATGGAGGTCGTGGTAGTCAAATAGTGGTAGTGGTACACACTAGAGTTTCCAGAAAGGCACAACCAGGGTGTCTTCGAGTCCCGAGTGAATAAGTTGCTTATGGACATGTGAACTCCATCGTTGGCCACATCATAAAATACCACCAAGTGAGTTAGACCCCAAACATCTGCAGATATAAAATTCTTTGATATATTTTAAGACCAGTGCAATGCACTACGTGAAAAGACATACTTTTCACATATCTGGAGAAAACTGGATATTAAACTTATTGAGTTTATTACCCCTTTTGACAAAATGAGGCATAGCATTCATAATTTGTATCAACATCATTTCTTTCATCTTTCTCAACATTCTCATTCGTTCTTGACACAACTCTGTCACACGCCTACGTTCGTTGACCTTGTCCAAAACACCACATCTTTTGCCATTCATTATGGAAGTTCCATGTGATTGGAAACTGCATTCTTTCTATAAATAGATTGATAGGAGAAAGTGAAAATATGTGTCAGTTCATATTTATGATGATGAACACTTCCAGGTGCCACTGCGCCGAATGGTTTAGTGTTCCCATGGTCGTAAAGAATTTAAATTAAGCACATAATTCTTAATAAGTTATAGGTACTTAGATTAATTTGCCTGTAAGCAGTGTCGGCAGAATTTTTTATATATATTTGATGGGCCGACATTTGACCACTATCTCCGGGTGGTAAGCGATGCTGCGGTCTAGGATGAAGCACGCCGACCCATAAGCAACCCATCCACTCGGGTCTTGAAGACGCCCTTCAGGAAGTCGCGGAGAACCTAACGGGTTACCGGAGCTCCGGCTCGATGTGCAGGAGAAGGAACGGGGTGGTTTTTAGCCAGTAAGAGTCTGACACTCCCTCCCGCCTCACCCAGCCGGGAGCAGGCATTCGATGAAATGCCACTCTTAAAAAAATACCCTTCAGGAAACACAGAGTCTGGCTAAGAATTCCATTCCTTAGAATAAAATAAAATACATACATCAACCGAGAAGCAACCAATGGACTGCAAATTCGACAGAGCCTGCCGGCAACAGTGCTCTCTGGTAGACCTGAAACTTAAAATTACGATCTTCAATCTCGATCCCACTTCCTAAGCATTGAAATGTCTTTGAATACCTATTACCCATTACCCATTACAAAGTTTGATCTTACCTTGCTTGGGTGCCATAGTTTCATCTTAAGTACTCACTTTTTATATGATCCTATAATGTTATATATAGTACTAGCGACCCGCCCCAGCTACGCACGGGTGCAATATGCATGTATCATACATATAAACTTTCCTTAAGAATCACTTATGCCATTGAAAAAACTGCATCAGAATCCGTTGCGTAGTTTTAAAGATCTGAGCATACATAGGGACAGACAGACAGAGGATAGCGACTTTGTTTTATACTATGTTGTGATAAGTGTGACTGTGCAAATTATGACAAATAAACATTATTATTTATTCATAAAAAAACATGTAGGGTACGTCATCTAAGAGTACAGCAGCGTAAATCTTTATATCTATTCCCCCAAAGATATCGCCGTAACGTTAAGTTAGTTTTCAGATATTTTCATGTTCTCAGGTTTTGTAAAATCATCAGGCATAATTTATTACATGTTCAGGTTTTTTTTTTAATTGGTTCGGCACCTTTGTGCCAATTTAGGCATAAGATACCACCCAGCCTTTCACTTTCATAACTATATTTGTATCAGATTCTTATCAAAATAAGTCCAAATTATAGAGGACAGCGTACCATAATACCATACATAGCCATTTTAAACTACAAGTAGATATTTACAAAAACCTGAGCTATACGCCATTCGCAGGTCTCGAAAATCGATGCTTATGTATGGTAAAAGTTGCCAACTAAAGGTCAATAACCTGCAGCATGTGCGGTTTTGACCTTAAAGAACTTTATTACTGTAGCAAAGTCAGTGAAAGTGGGGGTGCGTCAGTTGGAACTTGGAAAGTACCTTTATATGCATATTCCCTTCAAATTATGACGTAGGAACCTATTTTTTAAATAAGCTTAAGCTGTTTTGTAGGGCAAGCCTTAAAACCGTTAAAAATAAAAAAATATAGGCGTTGCTTAATTAATTCGAAATTTATGATTAAATAAATGATTGCAATTTGAACACCATTGTTCATAGTTTTTCCGAATCATGTTCAGTATAATTGCTATGCTGATAGATTGGAAATCAAATAAATTAAAATAGGTAATTAATTTGATTTCTATCGATCGATGTAGGTAGTGCGATTTATGACCTAAAATTTTAAACGTTTTCAATTATTATATTAATCGAAAAAAATAATAATAGGTACAGCAGGTAGGTACGCACACTGAAAGTAGCTATGAATTATGAAGGAATGCTCAATGTAGGTAGAAATTTATTTCAGTATTTCAAAATCAGTAAGTAGTTTTAAACATAGTATTACGACCTGCACCATTTCCTTTGAAATCATAATCTCCGTAGGTAGGTAGGTACTTACCTATATTAAATTAAACAAACACTATAAAGTTAAGAGAAGACACTCTTTATAAATCATACGGAAGCTAGCAGTTCGTACTTATATTAAATGACCGATAACGGCAGTTTATTTGTCATGGCTCCTCGTTCACGTTATTCGCTTGATCGCATGCAATATTTCGCCGCAGGTGCAATTTGCGGATGCGATTTGCCGTGCATGTCGATTTACGAGTCATGTTTTTTATTATCACGATCTGCTCTTTCGTTGAACTTGACTGACAAGGCTTATTGTACGGTACTTTTAAGAATTGTTCTGCAAATGCAAAGAATAATCACAATGTCATTAATTTTACAAATGAATTTATTTTGTGTTAGTGCCATCTATGTGCGTATAGCTTTATCAAGTGGGCGTAGGTAACGCCATCTCTTGATATCTTCTTATACTAATTTGACAAACATTTGACATTTAGCATTGTATTGCCAAGTTATGTAAGAAAAGCTACTAAAATGATTAAATAATTTAAAATAATAAATAATAATAGTTCCCCTATGATAGTGAAGCGGACGAATTCTTTGACGCCTTAATTAAGGGTATAAGTTTTGTTGTTTTGTTTTTTTACTTTCGTTTTATTTAATAGTTTAGTTGTAGTTAATTTTAAGATGCAAATATTTATATACTTATTTAAAATAGTATTTTTGTCTTTTAAATTACGTACTTACAAATTTGTATAATTTTTTAAATTGAAAAATGTTATATTATATTAGAGCATGGCAATGGTAGTATAAGGGAACGCTGAACTGACAACACTAAGCTTCGGCTGCCATGATTTGGCGTTTGTCTTGTCATCTATTAGTGCATCGTCTAGAAAATTACAAAAATGTTTTATGAAAAGCTTTATTGGGTGCAACTGTTCTTAGTATCTATTTTAATTAGTTCTATTGTAGCAGAATGGAACACAAGGGATTACATAAGACGAGAACATTCACTCACAAAACCTTACCAAGGTGAGTGACCTCTTCCCGGTGACTTTGATCTTACGTTGAATAATTTGCACTAACAATAAAAATTATCAATTAATTACAGGAGGCGGGTATTCGGTGCCTTACTGGGACTTCTTAGGTAACACTATAGTGACTTCGAACTACGTGAGACTAACTCCGGACCTGCAATCGAAGTCAGGAGCAATTTGGAACACAGTTGTAAGTAAAATGTTGTGTTTAATTATAAATGCATGTTGATAAGATGTTGTTAATATTAACATAGACACGGTGCCACGAGGCGGCTAATCTGTACCTAGAGATAAGCTGGGCGAAGTTGGCAAATTCTCATAATTTCTACATACATTTGTGTCACAGTACAATGTAGTCAATATCGTCTCACATGCCTTTTCAGACAGTGTTTATTCAGATGTTTTATTTATTCTCTTTTACTTAATGATTTGAATATTCAAATTACAATTTTATTCATGTAATTTGTCGAGCAGCCGTATACCTAGTGAAACACATGCTAACTTCATGATTAATGATTTCTTTACTGTGACTTAGATAATTATACGTAGTTATAACTGCTCTAGCCATTTCGAAATATATTAGGGAAAATATTAAATTATAGTGTTCTTAAATAAGAACACTAAAATTAATGAAGTTCACCCAGATTAGTTAGTTTTTTTACCTGTACTACAAATAGGTTCCAATGCATCCAAACTGTTCTGTTTAATGTAGATAGACTAACTGAAATTAGTTTTATCTTTATGACTTTTCTATTTTACTGCCATGCGGTAGTTTCCATAAAACAAGTAACCATAAAAAACATAAAATGATCAAAAAAGTACATGAAAAAGATCATGTTAAGTAAAATATCATTCATTCATTTTGTTTAAGTTAACCTTCATCAATTGTTATAAATAAGATACTTAAAAATCTATATTGATAACAATGGATAACCAAAATGTATATAGGTATGCCCAGAACTGTTGAATGACTGCAACAAATTGTATCATTATTTTTATCATATTCATTCATTGGGACAAAGTTTGTATTTAAATTCGAAAGATTTTATATGACATTCGGGAACATCGGGAAATTGCACCCAAGCAAAGCTGAGGTGGTCCGCTAGTTATTAATATTTCTATGTTCTATTGTATATAGAAGTCCAAATTACAAATGGACAAAGAAACAAATAAATCTGGTAATGTCCTAACATAACAGTGCTTTGTTTTGCTGATTACAAAGTCAATAATGTTATAAGGTTATTCGCCTTTTGTGATACATCTATACATATAAAACTAGATGTTATTCACGGCTTCATTAGACCAAACAAAAATGTAGTCTATATCACTCATCGGACACAAAAACCTTGCCATAATAATGCTTTGTTGGCCTCATTGGCCGAGTGGTTGCAAGTACGACTCCCGGGCAAGGGTCTCGGGTTCGATTCACTGTTGGCAAAGTATTACAGGTTTTTTTTTTTAATTCTCAGTGGTAGCACGGAGACTGCAAATGCGCATACTGGAAAATAAATGGCAATAGTCTCACCCCCTATTATATGGGACACATAAAATAAATAGTGAAAAGTAGGTGTTACATTATACAGTATATACCCCTTCGGGTATAAAAGACGTGATGTTATGTTATGTTATGAAATGCTATTGTGTGACATGAAAGAAAAATAAATGATCACACTTTCGCATTTATCGTATTACTGTATTAGTAAGAATTGATAAGATGACAAAGGTGTGATTCATCATTTATTAATGTGTCACTGCGTGTCAATTTAACCAGAACTATTGTATTTATCAATAGATAGATCGTTCTTTATTGTTGCTACTATATCCTCTACTATATAGTAGAACAATTATATTCATTATAATGACATACTAGCTTTGGTCTTCAGTTTCGCCCGCGTGCCCGAAGGTTAAAAAGCAGCCTATGTGTTATTCCACAGCATAAACAACCCCTGTTCCAAATTTCATCCCAATCTCTTCAGCCGTTTTGACTTGATTTAGTAACAAATGTAGGCACATAAATCACAAAATTTACATTATAAATGTACATTCATATTCATAAATATTAGTAAGTAACATTTTTGAGGTTTATTTTTGTCTTCATGTGTCGAATGAATAATCTCTTTCTTTCTTTATTGAAGAAGAAGTGTTTACACACACTACATTTTGTAGATTCATCCAAAAAAATAGATACTGTCGGACCTACAACATTCTTGTACGTATTTTACTTGGCATTTCAAACACAATTGGTTAGTTTCCAGGGTATCAAAACATAGAAACCTAATGAGTCCGTCAGTTAGATAATGAAAAAATATTTGACATGTATGTTTTTTATTTTCTCGTATTAAGTTGTAATGCTTAGATAAAATGGTGCTAAGTTTAGGAGTGGGAGGTTGTTACGTCATAACGTGCTACAAAATGTGGCACGCTGTGACGTCACACGATATTTCAAATTAAAATATCGTCGAAAGTATTTAATTTTGTGTCAATAGAAAGAATACGTGTCGAAAGTTTTAAATTAATGTACCAAACAGATTTTAAACTAAAATTTAGGAAACTACCCTATTATTACGAATAGAACTATGAAGTTTATAGTATACAGGGTTTAAACGAAACGAACCCGAAAAACGCTGGCAGGTCATGGTAGAAAACAAGTTCTATTTTTATAACAGTAAGGTTTTCAATGTTTCTTTTATGTTGTAATCAACTGCTCAAGGCTGATGTTGCATGAATAATAGAAAAACAATAGATTAAAATTGCAAAATCAACTTCTTTTTGTCAGTGTTTTGAGAGTGTTACGTTTACACCCTGTACACTTCTTTCTCCTGATTTTTTCCTAATTATTTTGGTGTCAGCAACTCGGCATTTAGTCTTAATTCCTAACCACATTTGGCTACGTATGTATTTTACATGACTACTAATTAGTAATTAGCTCTAGAACATAGTCATGTTTCGGCGGTCGGGATTTTGATTAAAAAAATATTAATTAATTACAATTTAATTAGGTATATTAATTAGTCAATACAGGATGTTATTTAGCTGGTGATCGCGATTAAACTGGCTAACTAATGTCATTATACAATGCAACTGTTATCAATCGTATATTAAGTAAATGCTGAGATGCATAAAGCCCTAGCTGCTATATCATCAAAAGGGATCGAAATAGTTGGTTACAATCAGTTCACTACATTCAAAATAAATCTTACCATATTTGGCAGTAGTACCCTAAAAATACTAGTGATAGTAAAAACATAATAAAAACCGTGACCTTCATTCATTTGTTTGATTTTACAATGAAAGGAATCATACAGTACAAGGTCACAAACACTCTTTCAATCTAAATTGTACCCTATCATAAAAGAATGGAAATCAATGTTGTATATTTGTCTAATGTCTAGTTATTTAAACAGTGTGTTATGCTCAATTTCAATGGAGTTTCAATAGGATTTCACGGTTCATAAACTTTTGTTATACTATGAACTGAAATTAGTTTTACATTTGTAAACTATGGCCTAGTTATTAGCTACTCCTTGTTATTATAATTTATGACATTCACAGCATGTTAGTTAACGTTAAATCATGCCTACGCCTGTTTTAGATTTATGAGGGATAGGCAGAAGCAACTAGGTATGTCAGTCAGTCAATTAGTAACGTTAGACTAAAAAGGCGAGCCTTTAACCACCCTAAATAAAATTTTTGTGCTTAATCTCCCCAATCCCTGAATCCCCAACTACTCAAATCCTCGTAATCCCACAAAAAGCCGGTAACGCTCTCGTAACACCTCTGGTGGTCCAGGTGTCCATGGACGAAGCCGATTGCTTACACCATCAATGATTCGTCTGCTCGTTTACCAAAAGACCATTGAGTCCACGTTGTAATGACTCCAGTTGAGATATTTCTTCTTTCTTTTTTTAGTACTAATAATGTTTTATCCTTCATTGCCATTATATTCGTAGGCGTCTGTGACCTTTATTCCCTCATCACGGACGGGGCTCAATAGAGCTGATGCCGATACCGAGCCGCCGAGAACGTAATAGGTTACCGGGGCTCTGGCTCGATATGCAGGAGTAGGAACGGAGTGGGTTTTAGTCAGTAAGAATCTGACTCTCCCTCCCTCACCCAGATAGGATAAGATATTTGATGATTTTCCCCCTTAAAAAACCCATACGTTCTATAAACAGTAAAACCCGGCTTATGTAGGTATGCCATTGCCACAATTCAATTAAAAGTTTTCCTATCAAGTATTATTACTTTGACTTTGCGATAAAGAAATAATAGTTATTAATAATACGAAACTCGGTTACACCATTTATTGCCGCGTTAATCTAATTACAAATTGTTCAAGCTATTTTGAGTTCTAAGTCATAGGTGTAGGAGTAAGTTTTGTGTGAAAGAGTAACATAATTAAATTAATTTAACTTTGTGAATATTTTTATTACTTTCTTGCAAAAACTACTGAGCAGATCTGAACAAAATTTTGCACAAGGAACTGTAGATTATACTTAGGAATAACACATGAGCTACTTAGAGTATCCCAATAATGCGATTAAAGCCACTGATTTAGCGCAGAAATAGACTATAGTCTACACTAATAAGTTTATTTTATCCCTATAATGCGACCACTAGCAAAATCTAGTCTATCAAACAACCATGGAGTTAAGACTAATGTCCGGTCTTTGGCGCACCACCTTACAATAAACTCGCAAGAATAGATACTTATGACCTTATAGTCTAGCAATAAACTTTGCCTGCACTATATTCCATGTACCTAAGTCTAATTAGATTCAACCATTATCATTAATTACTGTTAGGTAGGTAATGACCCCAATAACGTGCTAAGGTCAAAGATGTAAAAGTTAGTCTTTTAAAGAGGCCCTAGTTAGGTGTTTGGGTCAAGGGTATGAAGGACATAAAGCTACAGAGTACACAGAGGCGTATTAAACCTGGGCATGCACCTCATACACGCTCTTAATCGGTTTTGACGCTGCCGCCACTTAATGGGCTATGGGGACTAACAATTTTTGTTCACCAAATGGCGCGAATGTGGAATAGGTTTGTTTATGTCCAACCATAGCTGCTGTCATATATTGAACGTCCAATGCTGTTGCACTAGCTAATTCCCTATTGGACGAAGGATAAGAGGTTCACACTAGCGCCACGTGAGCAAAAATACAGGCCCCATTATGCACGCGCGTCTCTTCTCCAACCTGACGCCTTAGGCACTTGCTTAGTATACCTTAGGGATAAGGCTCTGCTAGTACAAATAAGTTATTGAAATTTTCAGCATTGTGTATGAATTGAGACTGGAATTTTGCCAAACGTTGTACCTACTCAACTAGCTTGCTTAATATAGGAACTACTCACCATATAAGTGGCTAAAATGGGCCTAACTACCATACTCAAAGACATTTAATTAATTATAAGGTACCTACTTCAACTATTTCTTACGTTTTTGTTTCTAAATAATTGCTAAAAACTGGGTTAAGTTACAATTAAATTGCTTTACTTATTGACTAAATGTAAAAAACCTTTCCACAATTATATGCAAAAAATGTGTTATAAAAAACAATGCTGTCCAACATGCAGTTTTAAACCCAATCTCTCAGTTAAATAAACTTTTCAATGACTTCATTTGTTAAAAAAGACATAATATTACGTAACATGATTAAGAACATATACAATTTAACGTTACAATGCAGAAATCAAAACGAAACCAAGATAAAAGGTAATAAAGAACTATACATTTGGCAACCACAATAGGTGTTATCGCCAAAACGCAACTCGTGTTCGATTCTAGTTTGTTTATTTACATAATATAGATACTAACGATGAACCTAAAACCTATATACTTGAATAAATATTGGTATGTAAATATAAAGAGTAGGTAATATTCGCGTGTATGTGTCTGAGTCATTTGTGATAATGTTTTGTCTGCTAATATGTACATCACACGGCTACAAAGGTCCAATAGTCCAATTTATCGTGGTCTCGCTTTGTATAACTTTCCAGCACATTCGACGATCAGCTTATACTGGTTTCGCATAGGTTGATGTGGCCATATGTACCTAGGTAGTAGAGTAATTTTAGAATACCGTTCGTTGCTCTGTGCATGGAATGTCGAGATGAATTCGTTGTGATATTAGCTCCATTCTTAGATCGCGTTCATAAGTTTAGGACTTGGTAATTGTCATAGTAGCACTGCATTTGAAATTGTGCTCAGTATATAAAAATAACATATAACATAACATCACGCCTTTTATCTCCGAAGGGGTAGGCAGAGGTGCACATTATGCCACTGTACAATGTAACACCCACTTTTCACTATTTATGTTATGAGTCCCATGTAATAGGGGGTGAGCCTATTGCCATATACCGGGCACAATTCCAGACTCCGTGCTACTACTGAGGATTTTTTAAAAACCCAGTAATACTTTGCCCGACCCGGGAATCGAACCCGAGACGCCTTGCCCGGCAATCGCACTTGCGACCACTCGGCCAACGAGGTAGGCAGTTTAAAAAAATAGTCTCACTTATTACATGCTACTCTTATCATAAGTGGTGAAAAGTGGGTGTTACATTACAATAATAAATACATTCACAACTGCACTACCTAACTCGTATCTGGAAGTCATTCGGGGAGGCCTATGTTCAGCAGTGGATGTCATGTGGCTGATATGATAATGATGATGATGAATCTAACTCTTTAATGATTGAAAACTATTTTTAAGTTTTTTTTAAACGTTGCCCTGCACTAAAGTTTTCTCTTGTGTCGTGGGTGCGTTTATAAACATACAAGTTCACATACACATCACACCTAGACCCGGAATAACAATTTGTGGATCACACAAACCGTTGCTTCGTGCAGGAATCGAACCCGCGACTCGTTGCGCGGCAGACGGTTGCCCAGGCACCGCACCAACCGTGCCGTAAACTGTGTTATAAGTAGGATACTAATTTCTTGCCTGGAAGTCATGGAAGTGTATCCATGGCTCATGACATCTTACCTCTTAAACTGATGGGCCGATTTCGATGCGGTTTAATCTGTTATTATAACAACACCTTCATGTCCTAACTTTAAAAATTATGTTAACAACATATTTTTGCCATTCGACGTGGCAATGCTGCCAGTCTTTTGAGCACCCTACCTCACGATAGCGATGAGGAAAAAATTTTTTTTCATGCCTTAAGTTAGCATTTTTATTATTATTACTTTTTTTAAGGTGTTTGTAAATATTTCAGTTATTAGTTATTTATATTTTAAGTTGTATATATATATTTATTTAATTAAAATTCTTATTAATAATGTTAATCAACTTCATTTCTTTATTTCAGCCATGTCAAACACGCAACTGGGAGCTGCAAGTTCAATTCAAAGTCCATGGTCGTGGCAAGGACCTGTTCGGCGATGGGTTCGCGATATGGTACGTCCGCGACCGTATGCAGACAGGACCTGTCTTTGGAAGCAAGGACTACTTCCAGGGGCTGGCCATCATTCTTGATACCTACAGCAACCACAATGGTGCTCATAATGTAAGTTTTAGTGTGTATAAATGTTGTTTTATTTTAATTTAGATAAGAATAATAACGTGGAGGTATTGTTTATTGTGTGAAGTGCGACTTTATTATGGAATAAGCCGATAAACAAGCAGATGGATCATCTGATGGTAAGCAATCGGCGTCGCCCATGGACACCTGGAACACCAAAGGCCAGTTGCAAGTGCATTACCGGCCTTTGGGGGGGGGGGTTAGATGCAGCCAGAGGGGGGGGGGGGGGGGGTAATTGGGCCTCCGGTAACCACACTCGCACGACAAAACACGTTTTCTGTCAGGCCGTGGTATCGCTCCCGTCGAGCTGGTCCATTCGTGCCGAAACATGGCACTCCCATATTTAAACGATGGTTAAGTAACGGATCTCGGGCTGCCAAGTAATGGAACATAGGGCTTTTTATGATTGTCAGTATTATTACGAGCCTTTTTCTTTAACCATTCACGAGAAAAATAGAACAATTATTTCCTTACAAATTTCCAGCTAGATATTTGTATTTCTTCCCCCAGCACCAGCACCCGTACATATCGGCGATGATAAACAACGGGTCGCTCCACTACGACCACGACCGCGACGGCACACATACACAGATCTCCGGCTGCGAGGCCAAGTTCCGCAACTATAACCACGATACACACATCTCTATTACTTACATCGATGATACACTTACTGGTAAGTCCACTATCATCTTCATGTCATGAGACAAGCCTCCACAACGTCTCCAAACCGGTAAACCAGGATTAACAGTAGAAATTACTATGCAGACATAACGAATCATCATCATATTTATTATTCGGTCTATGTTCAGCAGTGATCTTTAGGCACTGCTTCACGCTGGCTAACCCCAGTGACTTTCAGTTCGGTAGATTGGAACCGATTCTACATCCAGTGGCTTCCCTTTTTTTATAATGTCTATTATCTTCTGATTCACTTCGTTGCGGGAACCAAGACAGTTATTCATGACCCTGGGATGCGCCGGACTTCAGTGTTCCGGTGTTTTCATGGTTGTATCTACTGTAGATCCTGGCTTACAGGAGTTGCAGCAGTTTTGAGAGCGCATTTATAGGCTGTTGATGATGATGATGATGATGATGATGATGATGATGATGATGATGTGGCGGGCTAGACCCATAAAAAAAATCCAGTGGCTTCCTGCACTCTTTACATCACTTCACAATCTGTTTAGAGGGATAGTAAATTGTTAATTACTGAAAATGTTTTATTAACATTATATTTTTTAAAAGAGTAACGAATGGGGTTTCTTGCTCGTTCTTCTCCATTCGAACACCTAGCTCCACTGACGAACAGACTAACAGACTATTAATTATTTAATGTTTGTTGTCGTTTCAAAAGTACCAAATTATGGTTTATTTTAAATAAATG